ATGTTAATACATGCCTGTTAACTGCTCTGTTCTTTCTCCCAAATTTCTGACCTGTTCTAATTGCTAGTTTGACTTTTCTACTTGGATATTCTTCTCTCATTATCTTCTCAAACTAAACAGATATAAAATGGAAATTAGTTATCTTCTCAAAAGTACTTATATTAGTCTGTTTTGTGTTGCTATAACAGAACACCTTAAATTGGGTAATTTATAAAGAAAAGAGGTTTATTTGGCTCATGATTCTGGGACAGCTGCATCTGGCATGGGTCTCAAGCTGCTTCTACTCATAGTGGAAAAAGTTAGGGCACCCAGCATGTACAAGGAGACCACATAATGAAAGGAAGCAAGAGGGAGGTAGGGGAGGCGCCAGGCTGCTTTTAACAACCAGCTGTCACAGGAATTAATGGAGTGAGTACTCACTACCCCCCACCCCCAGGGAAGGCATTAATTTATTCAAGAGGGATCTGACCCCATGACCCAAACATCTCCCAGCACTACCACACTGGGGTTCAGAGTTCAACATGAGCTTTGGGGACAAATATATCCAAACTACATCAGTACCACAGTATAGGACTCCCTTGTTTCAGTCTCACTCACTCAAAACTTTGACTTAATCCTTCAACCTTGTCTTTCTAACAACCAAATATTGTTTGCACATTATTTAAACTTTAATTAATTAGTATTCTCTTGATTTAAAGTGACAAGAAATACAACCAGTATTGACTTAATCAAAAAAAGGGCACTTACTGACTTAAGCTGGGTCCAGAGCTTACATTATGTGTCAAGAATTCAGTCACTCTTTTCTCTCTGTTATCTTTCTATTTGAGCTTCTCTGGAAGACAGCTTGCCACTTACAGGGGAAGAGTTTTAGAGTAACACTAACTCATATAAATTAAGGAATGTGGGCAAAATGACTTTTTACAATCTTGCCAACTAAGAGGTCACAAGGAAATTCTAGCTAAAACGTCATGATATTGTGTTTCTGTCAACAAAATTAAATCAGAGTTCTTTACCTGGGTATTTCAAAATCTCTACAGTCTTTTCCTTATCTTCCTGTTTATATCATACATGTATGAATACTATACTTTAGTTAAAACTTGTTTTTATCATTTTCTCAAAACATGTTTCTTGCATTGTTTTTTGCCCATGTTTCACAACTGTAGGTTGTTGTGATACGTATTTTAGCTTTATTATTGGTTCTATTTTATGTCTCCATTTCTTAATTATTTTGTCTCACTTTTAATTTATGTACTAAATTCTTAAATTCTTTCTGGAACAAGATAAATTACAAAGAGATACATAAATAAAAGTTTAAAGCTGCCTAGAATGCTGCTTCCCCCTTTTCTTTTTCTCAGCCTCACCCTTCATTTCAAAGGTTCTACCTCTTTATGAAGCCTTCCTGGATACTAACGGCTTAGAGTGAACCTCCTTTCCCCCATAATTATTGAGCAAGTTTTAAATATATTTTTGACATATTTAATCTTATCATATGTTACCTTACCCCTTGCCTTTTCTGCTTGAGTATAAACACTGAGAAAGCAGGAAGTTTCTATATATGACATTGCACTCCTGTTATGTAGTCCCTGCCACCTAATAGTTTCTTGCATATAAAAGATACTAAATAAACTCAGCAAAAAAGGAGAAAGAGAAAGAGGAAGAAGAGGAGGAAAAGAAGGAATTGAAGGAAAGAGTAATGATGTTATTCTTTCTAGGTCTGAATATCATTTTTGTCTTTCTATAGGCAACACAAAAACTATATTTTCAGGGGCCAGCCCGGTGGCGCACTGGATAGTGCGCCGCTTGAGAAGTGCGGCGGCGCTCCTGCCCGAGGGTTCGGATCCCACATACAGACCGGTTCCCGCTCA